GAGGCTATAAATACGTAGGCAAAGGGGAAGACAAACAATTGTATTGTCAATGACAATACAATAACCTAGCAATAACACATTTACTCATACGTATATAAAATGCATATATGCCAAGCCGTTCACATGTAAATGCATGCAAACATGTACACATACGCATTAAGATGTATACGCATAAACACGTCACACACACAACAAAGCACCGCACTGTAGCATGGAAAGCTGACTGTTTCTATCTGGGAGATCAAAAGACTCCATCAAACAACAGTTTGTTTTTTTATCAAGGTCAATCTATCGGACGCAGGTTTGAAATGGATGCGCAGCATGGTTTAAACAGCGTGATACAAGACCAACAATATCATAGTGTTGGTATACCTCGTAATAACAGTCAGGATCAAAATCCTGCTACACATGGAGAGAGGAGGACCGCACACCGCTGTGTTACTCACAAACCTTCTACCGACCAACGATGTCTCTGCCTGCTGTTTGTTCACAGATTTGTTGTTTCGTGGCAGTAAGAGCCCTGAGATTCCATCAAGCAAACTGTGCATGAAGTTATTTTTTCCTATAATTACCTTTATGTCATTTATGTTACAGTATGTGGGTGGTGTTTTCACTTGTTTATTTTATTAACGTTATGAGATATAGTCGACATTTTACACTGCAAACAGTAACGCTGTAAATTATAAAAAGTTATAAATTATTAACTTTAAATACTTCTCTCCTGTCTAACTGACATACTAACTGAAAATGTACAACCACTGGCATGCATTGCTGTCTACCACGTGTGTTTTCTGACACTCCCACTTAGGTCAAGTACATTTTAAAATGTAGAGGCTTCAAGCTTTTGCATTGAACATTAGCTTACGATCTTTTCTTCCCTGTAGCAGACACAGTTGACATTTCCAATATTTAACCATAACCGATCAGAGCAACTGAGGTGATACTGAGCAACAACATCATTTAAAGTCTTGTCTCTCCACCTGGTGAATGTAAATCTAATAAAAACCCCTCCAAAATTGAAAAAAAAAGATGCAAACTAGAATTACGGTTGTAAGCTTCTGCCAAACAGTCATGTCGCAGTCCAAAATGTCATCACCTCATCTTTTTATCCTATTAGACATTTGTGTAAAATTGTCAGGTCTCAGTGATTTTCGACCAACAAAATCTAATCAGCCAAATTTGAAGAAATTCCCCCAAGAATGGGGATGGACGGAGAGACAACCAGAATACATAATTCCTCTGATAGGTGGGTTTATTCCTAGGAGCGACCCTCTCAAAACTATGCTGCGTCTAATATTGGACTGCTGATCACATATGGCAGACAAAAGTGTCCTGCTTCGAGGCATTAGAACCTTTCTGGCTAGAGTATAAATATCTCTTTAAAAAGGAAAATGCTGAATTTCTGAAGTCCAGGGGCACAGCATGTATTGTTCACATGAATTGTCTTGGCATTACTTGACTGAACACCTCTGTCTTTTATTATCGGTACTGCCCGGCTCTGCTATAAATAAGAGAAATAAGGGCTGGGTAGTGGAGTGAGGTAACCATTAGTACTGTCATGGTGTGTTTTGACAGCTACAAAGGAAGAGACTGGAGAAAATCTAACAAAAATGAGCTTTGAAACTGAAGATAATGATTTCTTTTGAATCTCAGAATTAGCTCTTTCTCAGCTCTCCCCTCATTGAGGGATTTCTAAATGAACTGTCAGTGTAATGTCTCACACCTGATCAGACTTTTATGTTTGGTCTCGCTTCTAAACCTGAGTGGATTGCAAAGTGTAGAGCTGCCCCCTCGTAGTAGATTAGTCGACTAATGGTCGTTTTGGTCTTAGTCTACTAAGTTTTCTTAAGTCAATTAGTCGTTTTTCATGCTTTTTATTCACACAAAATGACTTATTTCCAATAAACTACTGAGCACATCTCTGGTAAACACCACATTTAAAGTGGTGCTGTTGTGTGATTCTTTGATCTGTTGATAAAATCAACTAACAAATTGGTCAACAAAAAATGTCTTTATTCATGGACAGCCTTAGCACAGTGTCGTATAAAGGTTTACTGATCCCCGACATCAACTCAGCTGGGAAATACGGACGGGCTAAAACCGCATGTGTTGTTGTTTTTTCACATAGAGTTAATGGAAGGATCTGAAATGTCGTGATAAGTTTGGGAATGTTGAGGAAGGATCTGAACAGATGTTTGCATCAAATTCCTAGCTTGTTATTGTGTTTGGCACAGACTCTCGACAGGGCAGACGAGAAACGTGTGAAGCAAAGACACCAGTCATAAAACAGCAACATCGAAGGCTCAGATTGAGCATCCTTTATCACGCCTTCTTGGTTTCACAGTCAACTGTGGAATTAAGCAGAAATGCAAACACAGTACAGATCCCATGCATGACGCTCTCCGAAAGGGACGATTGTAAAAGGTTGCTGAGTTTTGCACCAGGACAAGGAGAACATATAGAAAATCTGTATTTCTGGCCCCTCTTTGCTGTGCAGTCTTTAGTGTCCAGTGGAAAAACTGCCAGAACTGTGAGGTGGGACTGTGGACTGTCCACAGTCCCACCTCACAGTTCTGGCAGTTTTTCATCAGAACAAGTTATTTCTCTGCACACATAAGAGACTGGATGAGAAAGGCAAGTTTCCTGTAAATCCCAGGAGAGGATGAAAGAAACCAAGCGGCCATAAATTCCCGAGGCTGACTAGTGGAGGCTGCTGAGGAAAATAAACTGTTTTTCACACACAACCACCACACACAGTCTGTAATGCTGCTGGTATTATAGATCAGGTTATTTTTATGCTGTTGTAGCTGCAATGCTTTGACTGACGTGTTTATGTGAGACTGGTGACCGCCTTGGTTATTGGTTCAAATGCTTTTAAAAGACCTATACTTGTGTTTTCCTCTTGCAGTTGCCCAAATAATGACAGCCCTTTCTCATTCACAAAGATGGACCAAGCATGATGTCGTTATTCACAACATTGTCAGTTCCAGTGGTGGCATGAATATACTGTATACAAAGTCAATGAGGAGATGAGAGGGAAAAGAAGAGAAACTTAAGGAAAATAATGGAAAGAACTGGACCTGTAGCGAGTCTTAGATGTCCCTGTTTGTGTCCTGTCCCCTACAACAGTCTGTGTTGGATTCTTTTCGCCACCAAGACGATATTTTCCTAACCCTCGACCAAGCAGTAAACTTAACCAGACCTCAACCACAGAGTGAGAAGGCACAAACCTTTTTGTGGTATGGGTATAAGAAGACTTGTTGGTTTGGCAGCCAGCATATAGTGGAAATACTTTATCATCTAATAAATGTCCTGCAGATTGTTTTGACCCTTTTATCTCAGAGCTGCTGTCAGCAGTGCCCCACCCATACACAATCCATCTTAGATATTCATCTGAAAAGGGCATCTTTGACAAAAAGGGCACAGCGGTGTGTGTCGTAGGGCTATGAAATATACTTTTAAAACCTCTTTGCACCCAAGTCTGGAGAAAATATGTTCCTCTCCCATCCAAAATACCTCCCACATCCAGCGTGTCCCTCTCTCCCTCTCTCTCCTACAGTGCTGCTAGAGTACATTGCCTCCCCAGTCTGTCAGGAGAAGAACCTCCATCAGAGCTTCCATAATGAAAAGTGAGCTCTCCCTGTCACCTTCCTCCCCTCTCTCCCTCACCCTTCTTTCTTTCTCTGTCGTTAGCTGCTGTCTCCTCCAACTTTCTCCTCTTATTATTTCCCCTTTCCTAAACACTCTTTCTTGCTTTGCAAAGTCACAGTTAAAGTCAACAGTAAAGTTAGTAGACGGTAGGGCGAGTGAGTTACAAGGATAGTTTGGATTTTTTGAAGTGGCGTTGTATGTGGCATTTATCCATCGTCAGTTCATTACATATGATTGATGGTGCTCGGCATGCCCCCAGTGTGGGGAAACAGACAGTACCAGCACAGGACTGCTTTGGACAGGGGTAGAAGCAAAATATATTATAGACACCTAAAAAAATCAATATCAGCTTAAGTGGACACTAGATTTAGAATATTTTCACTGCTTCACTTTGCTGTCAGACATCACTTTCCAATGGGAACTGAATCCATTATCTATGCTCTCTTCAAAACTTGGACTCCTTTGACAAAAACATCAATTTGACCTAGCAGAGCTCGGGAGCTGCCTTGATCTGTTAGTTTGTTTGTGCTGATGTGTAGTCATACAATAACCCTAACTAACTAACCAATTGAACTTTTGTGTTCTGCAAGGTGAAATTGTATAGTCTAGTATAGTTATATACTATAGTTATATAGTCTTGTGGCGATATAGAGAGCATTGATATAAGTCTTCCGGCTGCTGGCTGTAGCCTTCAAGGGCAGTCTGACAGCAAGGTACAGCAAAGAAAATATTCTTCAAAAATACGAACTGTGCCCTTAAGGACAGCTTCGTGGTATAGGCTAATAACACAAAGCCTGTTAGTGATGGAGTTCCAATGGACTACAATATATTGAGTGTATTCTCAATATAGTGTTTCTAATGTTCCGCCACCGTTATGCATGTAAATAGAGAGGACAAACAAATAGAAACTCCTCTCTCAATATTGACAAAAACATACAGGTTTTGTAAAGAGCTGTAGTATTGAATTGCTTTAGATGGTACAGGTGTTCCTAATAAAGTGGCCACTGAGTGTATGTAGATTTGATAAGCTTGTTTTGGTTATTAATGCTTGAGGGTTGATCCATAAAGACTTAAACATGATGCATACAATCTGTATGTAAAACCCAAAGTGGTCTTTTTGGCCCAGTTCTGAACAGTGCTGCTCTCATCCCCAGTGCAGTTAACCTGCTATACAGCCTAACTATCCATCCCAAATAAAAAGTGATTAGTGGTGGAGTTAACAGACAGTCGGACAGACAGATTATCATTGTCCTGAGAGAAACACACAATAACACAGGTAGTCCTGTGTTTGGTGTGCACACATACACAGACAGAGTGGAAATGAGTCGGACTTTGTGTGCATCTCTCACCTTTCCTGCTGCAGAGGCTCCTTTGTCCATCGAGAAGCTGCAGAGAAGCAGAAGAAGAGGACAAATGAATCACAGAGGGACAGTTTAGTCCACACACACACACACACACACACACAATATGGTCAAAACATGAAAGATAAAAATATCCCCCCAAGAAAACGTCATCTAAATTAAAAAGTGGATGAGTTATTAGCCCGCTCTTGCACTTATACCATCACTCTGATTTGTGCAATATCAAATGACGCTCTTCGGGACAATTTACAGTACATGGACGCTTTGCTTTTCTGCTTCTATATGACCTCCACCTGACCCGTGACATTTAATGTTTTCTCAGTGCTGAATAAGAAGTCATTTTGTGGGATTGAAGATACTTTCAGTGTGCACATACAGTACATGCACTCTATAGTAACAGGCAAACTGATGAGCATATACAGAGAGTATACACACACTAATATTCTCTCTCTCTCTCTCTCTCTCTCATATTTTGGAGCTCTGGTAAAGAGGATTTTTGAACATCATGACTGACAGCTTTTCATCTTTTTGAATACATTTCTCATGTACCGTAGGTTGATGCAGTAAATGCACACTACCACAGATTTTTTTTAAATCTTCGTCATGGCTGTCATGTTTTCTTAAGAGATGTTGGCTTTTTTTTTAACTTTTACAGGAATTGTGAAACGTCCATGTCCTCCAGGCAGGCTTTTAAATAAATATAAAGCACAGACATCAAAATGTATGTCACAAACGCACACCGACGCGCTCTCTCTGCAAATATAAAAGTGTTTTGAAATGTGTGTGTCACTTTTTCAGCCCCATATTCCTGCGCGAGTGAAATGACTCGAGTAGCTGTCTTTACATCCTCAAGTGCCCACGAAGTAAGAGGCGTTAAATCCACGAGTGAACGCGACAACTCAAAGCACTGCCTTCAGGGACAGAAGTAACAAAAAAAGAAGATAATTAATGCAGAGTCAAAAAAATACTGCAGTTCCACCTGCAATGGAACTCAGCGTGGGGAGACGTTTTGGGATTGAAATTAAATTAGACCGGGTGACTTTTGAGACCAACTTAGCCATTTAGTCCATTCTCTCATACTGATTTTTCAATTGTCTCCTCCTTGGCTGTTCTCTTTGTACTGCCAGATAATTGGTCGTATTTAAGGAACAGATACTAAATGAAAAACTGTGTGCAGCACTAATTTAAAGTCCTATCTAGAATGTAAAATAATTCAAAGGAATAACAGTGTTTCATGTAAGTTTGTGAATGCAGCATAGTAAAGACACTAATTAGTTAGTAAAACATTAATTTAGGGCAGCACAGCACCTAGTGTTTGATCTTGTGTAACTACCTCCTGGTGCATATTCCAATTTGTTCCCTTTTGGATTATTAAACATGTGAAATTAAAATTCAACAAGAAAAAAATTGCTGTTGTTGCAGCTATGGCTTAATGTGTGGAGAGATGCCATGGTTTAAAAAAATGATTAAACATACAGGGAACAACCATCTGTCTCTCCGTGGCAAGTAACACTTTATTAACTCTGACAGAACATCACCTTGTGGGGTAAATGTTAAATACCCGTCATAGCCCCCGTTTATTTGGGAGAAACAGAGGAATTACACGTTCAGAGTTGTCGGGCTGTCAGGTTGTGTGTTACTGAACTGATGAGAAAATGAGTCTGGCATTTACAGCAGACTTTAATTTGGTTGTTGGGGATCACATTTATTCCAGGTCATGAGCTGCAGATGAGTTTCTCAGGTGTGGCATTTTGAAACGAGCTCTAGCATTTTTCCAACAGAGCTGCATATTGCATTTTTATATCTGTGAAAAAGGAGCGAATGAGAGTTCTGAGTACTGACGGACGCCTGATCAGATTCAGCTGTTAAGGAATTTGGCATCTATTTAAAAATAATCAGAGGATTCTTCTTTCTTGGTGTTATCTCTGTGAAGTCTTTTTTACTGCTGCACTGCTCAAGTTTAATTCTTTCTTGTGCCAATTTTCATTACTGAAACTCACATAGTTTAGAAGAAAGTACAACATCTTTGGTAATTTTGTCAGTGTTCAGTGACAAGTTAAATCAGACAATGTAAAATGAATTGTGATAGTAAGGTTCTTCACTTCTTGGTAACTCTCATAGCATTTGAACGTCTGTGTAAATTGCAACACTGCAGGTATTGTATGTGTCAAACTTACTCATCTAATGAAAGTGATGTAACATAATAACGTTACATGTAATATAAATACAATTTTGATTATGTGTCCCTTTGCATTTTCAATCAAACCACCCGAATAAATATTATTATAAATTGTGCCATTGTAGAAGCTGTTAAAGTTAGAGGTTTATGTGGAGAACGTCCTCAGCTGCCTCAGAAGTGCTGCAGTTAATGCAGAAAACTTACACTTTGTTTTTTTTTTTAACAAATAATTTTAAAAAAGAGGCAGGCAGATGTTGTTACTGTTGGGCAGAGCCAGGCTAGCTACTTCCCTCTGCCTTAAGCCGCTAAGCTAATCGTCGCCTGGAAGCATTTTCATATTGAGAGTACAGACATGAGAGCGGTATCAATCTATTTAAACTATTCTTAGAATAAGCATTCTTTTCTTCAAATAAGTCAAACTATTTCTTTAATTTTATCTTAATTTGGGTCTCACAATATTATTATATATTTTTTTTAAATCACCTACATTAAAGCACTTTGAAAAAAAGGAATCTTATTTCATTTTAATTATAATCGCCACTCTTTGTTGCGTTTGCTTTTTGATAATAATGACTAGCCGAAAGACATTTGTAACAATTTTAATTCATGCAAATGCAAATATGCTGTCGATACTTTAATAATCAATAAACGGTAAAAACAGTAGCATTAGCAAGGCAGAGTAACAATACTTTGTGTGGGCTTAGACCAGATTTATTTTAGGACCAATCAAAACTCACCCTGCCATGCTGCTGTTGGCGGAGCTCTCTCCGATCTGCGAGCTGGCGATCCACTTGGTCTCGCCCACCACCGTCCTGGCGTGCGGCAGGCGGCCCACGTCTTTCACCGTCATCATCAGGTGCTGTGACGACTTCAGGACCCTGACGGCTTCGTCGTGCGGGATGCTCAGAAAGCTGCGGCCGTTCACCTCCAAGATCTGGTCGCCGACCTGCGGGTAGCGGAGCGAACACAGACGCATGGCGGGGGGGACTGAGCAAGGTGGTAAGGGTGGACCGGGCAGACACTGTCGCATGCACAGGTTCATAGGTCAAAGGTCAGAGACAAGAGGTGGTGGAGGTGTATAAAAAAACGTTTTAATGGATCAGAGTGAGATAAGCAGGGTGTAGGTTTCTTGTCAAAAGTTATGGCAGCAGAACAGAACAACAGAAATAATTAGGCCACAGAAGGAGTAAAGTATGCTCTGCTTGCTGCCAGGTTCAACACCAGGACTGTTCAATATGTAATGGAAAAGGCTTTGATATGTAATTCACATTCTATCACAGGGCTGAGCCTGAGGGCAGCGGCAGCAGGAGTATAATGATGTCCATACTAAACACCACCTTGGACCGTACCTTCTATAATGAGCTGGCGTATTGGCGCATTTGTCTAGCATTTTACTGTCTGTTTCTTTGTTCTATTTCTACTTAACTCTGGTCAGCCAACCAAACCTCACAACCACTTCAATGTTCTCTTAGAGCAGCAGCCAACGCGAACTTGACATTAAAGACATTCTGAATCTCATAGGTTTTAGTTTCTTAGGTGCTTTCCAACAACCCGAAGTGACCCAACACCACATCTGTCATTGCTGAAGCACTGCAGCACATCTGAGGCAGCTGAGGACATTCTCCACATAAACCTCTACCTGCTTCTACAATGGCACAGTTTATAACCACGTGTAGGGCTGTTTGACTGAACATGCAAAGGGACACACAATCAAAAGTGTATTTACAGATGCAATCAATCTAATCTAATCTAACCAGCACCACTGCAGCGTGAACACACCCTGCTACCACAGCAAACACTTTGTATCCGGGCTGTCAGGCTGAGCTGAAGCCTCAGGGATGCGGGACAGATTTGAAGACAGATTACAAGCTGTTTGTTCCAGCTGTTTGCATTACAAAAAGGCATGGGAAGGAGTCAATAAGCTGCTTCTTACGGACTTTATATAGTATTTGACAACACTAGAGCTCAGTTTATTGTGAGCTCTGCTCGGTTTATCTCAGGTTCACTTGGATTTGACACAGCTTGAGAGCACACATGGCTTTGAAACGTGCATGCACAAAAGAAGCAGACACACAAACACACCGCCATCTTTCTTCTCTCTGTCACTTGAAGAGAAATACCCTTCTGACTTGAGTGCGGTCGTGATAAACATTATATTATCGTATCATACTCATCAATTTACAATTGTTGTCACTGCGTACAGTAATAGACAGCTGTCTGGAAACTACGTTCAGAAAACGCTTAAGCTGTTTCAGCTAAATAAAATGTGAATGAGTCCTCAGCCTTTGCTATGGCACTCCAAACTGAGCTCAGCTGCATCCCGTTTGCACTGATCATCCTGCAGATCATCTCTAGAACTCGATAGGCCTTTCTCACCGCAGACATTTTGACTTGTCACAGCAGGAAAAGCACGGGTGTTACTAATAACATGAACAAAGGCACTGCTGCTTTAAGTAAAAGTAACAATATCAATGTACGAATACTGTTACAAGCATGGTCTTCAATTCAAAATTGTACTTAAACTACATGCAGTATTGTCATCAAAATATACTTAAAGGTACTTATGCAGAATGGCTCGTTTTATTATTGGATTGGAACCATTTTCGAATTAGTACGTAAGCATCACTAATGTTGTAGCTGGCAATGGTGGAGCTAATTTGAACTACTTCATATACTGCCAGGTAGCTTAACCTGTAATAATACATCATAATGTATGAGCTATTTCTTGTTGAATATTGCTTATATTTTGTATTAATAATCTAAAGTGGAAGTGTATAAAATGAACATGATATATGTGTATTTGTCACGTGTAATTTCCTTTGTAAGTTGTATAAAACTGTTCTTGAGTAAATGTATCTTTCTAATAATACCACAATGCAATATGTCCCTTTTTATCGATGAACAAATTGCATCTGTTAGTCATAATAAATAATAAATGATAAATGGCATTTCTAGCCGACTACTAAAAGCGTTTACCTATTCACACACATTCATTCACTGACGGCAGAGGCTGCTATACAAGGTGCATCCTACAAACCAGGATAATCTACATGCTCATTTACACACACTCACACACCTATGACACATATTTCAGGAGCAAATTGGGGTTCAGTATCTTACCCAGGGACATTTTTACATGCAGACTGACTGGAGGAGTTCCAATAAGTGTCTGAAATCTCTAATTTCCTGCTCACTAAAGAGTAAGCCCCTAAATCCTGAGATTCATTGAAGAAAACCTGCTCCAGAGTGCACATGTCCTCCCACTGGGGTGAAAGTCCTCCTTTCAGCATGACAGCTAACAGAAGCATGCAGTCAAGACAATGCTGGAGAGGCCAGTGTATAAGTCTAATGTTGTTAAATAGGCCCAGTCAAAGCCCTGACTGGAACGCCACAGTGGAGAGACACGAGGATGACGGCTCACAGACGTCCACCATCCAATATGACTGAGCTTGAGAGGACCCATCAGGAAAGGTGGGAGGAACTTTACCGAATTCAGACGTGTAAAACTTGCAGAGACTCGCCCTGGAAGACTCTTCAATACTTTCAATTCCCTGACACATCAGAACACGCATCATTGCTGCTTCACCACCAGGATGACAGAAGACATGTTGACATGTCACATCAGGAAAAGCACAGGTGTAAATAAAAAAAAATAATGATTCGGTTTCAGGACATCGCTAAAACCTGCTTGAATAGCTTGAACAGAACAGGGCCGTCTTTAAGGTTGTTAGTAACACCTGTGCTCTTCCTGCTATGAGAAGGTCTGCTGTGAAAAGCGCCTATTAGTTGCTATGGTGATAGGGATTGGGGTGATATGCAACCAGGCCTGTGGTCTGGAATCAAACCAGGGATGCTGCAGTTACACACAACCGACACACACAGGCTTTTTATTCTGGATGTTACGGGCTCTCTGGTCGAGTGGAGACATGAGTTTGGAGAAAAATAAATCAAAATGTGAATAAAATCATATGGATGAAAACCTGGTAATATATAGTGGTACATGGCATTGTTTACTGTTTTACATCTTTCCAATGTGAAATCCACATTATACCTTTGCCTGCACTACTGTATCAGTCATGCAGTTTGTTAAAGCACTGCTGTGTGCCAGCACCAGTTAATCAAGTCAGATTATTTGCACCTGTTGTATTTGTATAAATGATTGAAACTTTGATTTTGACTCTAATAACGCGCCGATTAAGTTTTATGACCCTGCGAGGCTCGTTGAAAACCAAACTGTTAATTACAGAGGAACGAGTTAGAGAATGCCAATACGCTGTCATTGTCCTCCGAAGAATGTCTTCATTATTGTAATCGATCAATGTTCCGGAAAATTAACCCCTTCACTCACTGGCGTTCGAACATAAAACACTAACAACGGCATCACTGACATCTTTCCTCTCCCCTCACTCAATCTCTCTTCTCATTATTCTGCTCTTCCTCATTATGCTTCTATTTGAGAGTAGATGGGCCCTGTCCTGAGTCACAAGCAAATCACTTCTTGTGATTAATCTCTCTGTCACATCAGAGGCGCCGCCACAGTGCTGCATTCTGGGCAATTAAACAACAAACAGTGGTAATGATGATTAAAGCTCTGATCGATGCTGCGTGTACAGCATGGACTGTACATAAGAAGTAGATGCAGTCGCCGTGACGTCACCCATTGTTTTGTGTACGACGGTTTTAAAGCCTTGAGTTTGGCATCTTGGATTTTTTTAGGTGACCAAAATGTAAAATTTGATAAACTGTCAACAACTGAAAACCATAATTTACTTAATGAAGATCATGCTGTATCAGAGATGCTCACTAGTCATTTTCTGGGAGTCCAAGTCAAATTTCAAGTCTTTTGTGGTTGAAATGACAAGATTGTTGTAGGCTACAAACAATCTTGATAACATTATTAGGTGTGCAATAGTAACGGTAACCTTTACTTTGGTGAGTAAAGCTCCAATCTTCTAATTATAAATCCTCTATGTCCACAAGGATTCCAGCTGCAGCTGTAAACATACACCTGGATGTGACTGAGAGTTCCCTCAGGCCCAGGCAGGAGGAGGGAGAAGTGTATTGAGAAAGGTTAATGTGGTTCCATAGTGACTCTACGGTCTAATCCATGAAAGTAAGTAGAAGTAAACAAGCTGCCATTACCCTGGTGGCATCCTGCTTGTCATATGTAAAGGACTTCAGAAGCTACAGCCTCACTCATCCACTGGAACATGTTCCTTCATCACAACAAACACACACACTGTCGTTTATGTTGACTCTCCACACACAGTCCTGCTGCCATAAGTACTCACTCACCAAATGTGTATTACTCCACACAGTTGAAAACAATCCCCAACAAATGCACTATTTGTGTTTTTTATGAAATTAAACATTGTTTGTGTCCCATTTGTAAAGATTTCCTTCAGTAGGAACAGATGGGTATCGTGGAATTGTAAAGTAAAGAGAGATGGACTATTTTAGGTTTGGTTTCATAAAATGTGTGGACAATAAGAAAATATATCACAGTGATGTTTGAGCACCTAATTCTAATCAGTTCATCCTTGAGTCCAAGTGGTCCTTTGTGTCAAATGTGAAAAATATTCCCTCAAGGCATTCCTGAGATATCACATTCCTGAGAATAGTACGGACAGACAGACAACCGAAAACTGTCACTGGCACAAATGCATATAAAACTTAACCTGAAGAGACAACTGGATGCTGCTTCATGAATTCATCTTCATGCATCTCCATGAAATCCAAATTCTTCATCTGACTGAAAGTATTTCATCTGAATGCAAAGGAATAAATCATGGATTGCAAGTTTGTTGATTTAAAATCATTTGCAGCAAATTTATTGTGTAAACCAATGTTGCCTAAAGCTGCAACATTCCTTTTCGCAGCACTTTCACAATGTCGGTCAAAAGTGGTAACAAAGTTCTTTTCCCCAAATCTACAGTCTTAACTACT